AGTCTAGATGTCAATCATCATTTTAGTCCAGATATTTTTTCTCCTTCAGTCTCTGTCTCTTAAAATGGTCATTTGTAATACTCAGGTCTGCACGCTACAGTAGCACTGTATACTGGCAATAGTAGTTTGGCTGTGTTCCCAGAAGTAAGAGGCTTTCCCCGAATGACCCTTACATTTTGAGGCTTCCCCAGCTTTGGCTGGAAAAACCTACTCCCCACTGTGGTGGTGGTGTAGGTTGATCACATTTGTTGCTACACTGATTGCTTCAACTATGGTCACCACTGCAATTGTTTTTGGTGTTGTGTTTGTCATTTATGTGTTAGCGCTTTGTTAAGGTTATATAGAAAACTACTCTCCTGCAACAAGATTATGTCTACATGAGACTAGATGTCAGCCTCAGAATAAAAAGCTCTGCAGTGAGTGTATTATGTAATATTTGGTGTTATAAAATAGACCAGAAGTGCTTTCAGGCCCTTAAATTTGCAATAATCCAATGAACACACCAAAGCTATTCAAGCTGTGACTACCTGCACGACTGTTTTCTTACAGAGGAATAACCAGCTCATATAAAAATGCCCAAAACAAAGCTGCTCAAAGCCTGGATTCCCCAACACAGAAGCTTTACAGTGTCCTGCCATTACTTAAAGCTGTTTTGCATTATTAATAAATCACCTCAGCACGCACAAATGGAGATTATCAGTTTTTTTGTTTGTTCATTTTTTCAGAAAATGCAAACAGAAAGTCCTTCAAAGAAAGCGTCAAACCAGGATGGCATTATTTTGGCAGGAAAATGGTAAGTCCCTCTTCTTCATGTATTCTCTATACGGCTGCACAGCACCATGTTAAGTGAGCGGTTGTTATTTGATCCTAATGCATTTTTCCTTGCTGTAGGATGCTGCGGACTTCGAATGGGTGATGTGGTTCACGACATTCCGCAATCATATCCTTTTTGCTCTCGTTGGTCATGTGATCTTTGCCAAGATATTTTCCCTGGTGGCTCCAAAGGTGCGCGGGTGTGAATGCTCACGACATACTCCTGCGTTTTGAATAAATACATGTACAGGCTCATGGTGCTTTTCTCTGTAAATATGTATGAAATACATATTTGTGTGTGCTCAAGTGTGAAGAAAGATATTACAGTAAATGCAAAGCTGCATTCTGCTGATGTGAACAGAAGGCCTTGAAGTGATTAATTAAATGTAGTTTTATTCCATTTTTATTCAATGAGATGTTTTTCTGTTCCAGAACAAAAATGTTTCTCGTGGCTTTTATTTGAACCTCAAGGCCTGACAGATTGACTCAACACAGCATGAGCTGCTTTCTTTGATACCAAGTTCCCATCTGTTGCGTCTCTGCTGTGAATATCTGGACATATTTAAAACAGTTCATCGTGTTTTAAACATGTTTTCTGTCTTGTTTCATGTTTACAATGAAGATTGGTATAAATGGATGTAAGGTAACATTAAAAGAGCTTAGAATTTTAACGACATTTGCCATGCATTTCATTTAAATTGTGCATATGTGGACTGTAGATTTGTTTTCATTGCCCTGTAATTTAATCTTCCCATCCTTAGGTATTTTTTATTTTTTGCAGTTTCACGAGTGTTATTATACTAACACCACTCTTCATGTGTGTTCCTGAATTCTGAACTATATCCTGATATCTTGACTAATTCTGGCTCCTTCTTATCCACAGCACAGATCCTTGGTCTTTGGGGTGTATGGAGGTTTGGCAGTCCTGGTTACGATGGGCTGGACTTTCTTGGCTCTGGTTCTTTCTCATTGCATCATACTATACAGCGTGGCTATATTCAAAAGTAAATGGATGTGCTTCGCTGCAGGCTTGTGTACGCTGGCCTCCATCAAGCTGGAGCCCTTTAACTCCTGGCAGGTGAGGGAATGGTAGCAAAGTAGAAGTTTAACAACTTCACCTACTTCCAAAGTCCAGCGACACATGTAATAAATACTACAACATTTGTGCTCGACCACCACATTTCTTCCTAATGATCCTAATGGAAGTTCTTTCTGCCCGTCCCTGAGCCTGGTTCTGCTGGAGGTTGCTTCCTGTTAAAAGGGAGTTTTTCCTTCCCACTTTCTCTCAGTGCTTGCTCATAAGGGGTCATTTGATTGTTTGGGTTGTCTCTGTATTATTGTAGGGTCTTTACCTTACAATATAAAACGCCTTAAGACGATTTCATTTGTGATTTGGTGCTATATAAATAAAACTGAACTGCAACTTTTCTGGAGTTTAGCTGAGTTTGTAGGGGTGTTTCCAGGATTTTCCAAAATGTGGTGATTCAGACTCAGAAGCAGTTATTGAAGCCCACTGGAAATAAGTGAGGTTTATTAGAAAGAAACAACCAATAAAACCATTTGAAAATTGGTTGAATTTAAATGCAGACAGACCTCCAGCCTCCCTAAACATGCACTAGAAAACGTGAATGTCCTGTAGCATCATAGTGTTCACATTGCTACACACAGTTTTTGTTGGCCCCCCTTTATCCACACCCCCGTGAAAGGTTTCAGCTGTAGGTGATCTTATAAGCGTCGCCAAACTGGAGAACGATCCCGAAACACTATTGATAACATTACAAATTATAGTATTTGGTCTAATATGTAATGTATGGGCACATGATTACAGTACTGACAGCATACAGCTTCTGCCAGATTGTTATTGTCGTCCTTATGCAGACTGGTGTTTGAGGCTCAGAATAACTTTTATCCCCCCAACAGGAAGCCTTGGTAACTGGTTCCTTCAACCTCCA